TCTTTTTAACTCATATAATTTGTATATTATGTAAATCAAATTTAAAATATTTTATTTTTATTAAAAAAATTATTATTGAATTATTTAAGTAATTAACAATTTTCAATTATACTAAAATTTTTTTATGAAAATAAATATATTTTAGACAAATAAGAGTCATTTCTTGGTATCCTATGATAATTTCATTTTTGCCATTATCGTGTCGAAGGTCATCACTTGCCATACTCTCAACCTACCATACTGTCTACCTAACATGCCGCCACTTACCAAATCGAGCTGAGGCAAGGCAACGCCCACCCTAGATGTAGCGATAACAATAGTGAATGCATTACTTGGACATCATGTTCTTATAGTGAAATGGCACAACTAATATTTGAAATGCGGAGGCAGCCAAAGTCCACCATAGAAAAAATTTTCAAATATAAATAGGGTACGTGATGTTGTAGGAATAATTTTTTTATATCATCTTTTAATATAATTTTTATGTGTTATTAAATAAGTAAATGTATTTAATATCATAAGTTTCACATTAATAAAAAGAATTAATTATTTAAATAATATATCAAATTGTACAAAAAAAAAAATAATAAAAAAGATAATACAAAAAGATAATCCCAAAGTAATTTCTAATATAAATATCTATCCCATATAGGTTTTCATCATGTTCTTACAGTAAAATAAAACCCACCTTCCATTGTCGCCAAACATAAATCTACCCACATAAACCCATATAGGTTTTCATCATGTTCTTACAGTAAAATAAAACCCACCTTCCATTGTCGCCAAATATAAATATACCCACATAAAATGCAACATTCCATTCAGACACAGCTCGTTTTATTTTATTCTTTACTAGTCAATCCAACTCAACTTGTTTTTATTTATCTTCTAGTGTGTGTGCTTAGCACACACCAACCCAAGAAAAAGAGATGTTTAATATGAAATTGATTCTTAATAACGTCAAGAATATTTCATTGTGATATTCTGAATTTGAATTCTAAATTTTCAAATAATATAAGATGCTATATACAATAATCAATAAATGATCAAATATTATATACTGTACTCAATGAATGATCAAATATTTAAATCATAATTTGATTGGGTAATACTATAATTATAAC